TCTTGCTTCCGATATGCCTTGAACTTATCCCCTTATCCTTATCCTTCGCCTCCGATTATGCTTATGCACAAAACTCTGCCAAAGTGTCGTGCTCATCATTATCGCTTTTGTTTCAAGTTGAATCTGCTGTTGCTGCCTGTGCTGCTGCGCTGCTGCTTGCCCGCAGCGACTAAAGAATCCTTTGCTCCTTTGGCGCCGCCATCCTGACACTTTTGTGACATTGTGCAAATGAATAATTGTGCTTTTCTTTGCTTCTCCAACCATAGCAGTCCGGCCAGAGCCCAGTCCCGACCACAACAACTGCACATCCGTTCCACATCGCTCGCTCAATGTCTCATCATCATCATCATCATCCACACGATGATCATCATCATCATCGCCTTCGTTGTAGTTGTCGTCGCCTTCATTGTCGTCCCAGTTGTCGTCGGGCACGTTGCTCATTCGCTGGGCCGTTGCCTTCACCATCATCATCATCACCATCACCATCACCAACGCCGGGCACAGCCTGCCTTGTCCTGTGCTGGCCTGGCCTGGCCTGGCCTCGTCCTTGTTCTGGCCTGGCCTGGCCTGGCCTGAGCCCCGTTCCGACCACAACAAAACAAGCAGCTAAACAGTCGCTTAGCCAGCCTGACTACTGACCCCTTTTCAATGGACATCCGCCTGGATATGGCCATTGCCATGCCCAGTTCCAACATCATCTCCATCTTCATCCCATCTCCTATTCCATCTGCTCTCTCTCTCTCTCTGCACGTCTCCATTGCCAGCGTTCAGCGTCAGAGTCGCCACTGTTTGCCATTCATTTTGTTTCTGTTTGCGCTTTGATTGACGGAGCTGCGCTGAGAGCTAGCTAGGAGCCAAGAGCCAAGGGCCAGGATGCGGGCGAGGGGAAGAGCCGGTTACAGCGGAGCTGAGCTGAGCTGCATGTCCTTGCGCTTGTCCTCTCTGTCTCTCTCTGGGCAAAAACCAATGGCAGTGCGCTCTTTCCTCAGCATTATTAATGATTTTTCCAAAGTTTTCGCTACATTTTATGCTACATCTTCTGGCCCGTTGGACTCTCGAGTCCTCTCGGTAGCTCGAACTGGACCCCTCTCTGGTTGTTGTTGCTGGCATCCTCGTATTGTTGATTGTTCTTTTATCTGGTCTCCGTCAATTCGTTGCGTTATATTGCTGTGTTCCATTTGACTTTGGGTTTTGAATTTCCGCCATCTCCCCAAGGGGGCGGCCACATTCCACCACTCCAGCAGATTCTGTTTCAAGCTGCTGCTACAGCTCCAGCTTCTGGCTCGGTGTTTGGCCAACGTATTACGCTTATTTTCCCGGTTTCGGTTTCCCCTTGGACAACATCGTTGCGCTGCCTTTTTGCATCCTCTCGTTCGGTGGTATGTCCTTGTGCCGCCTCCTCCGACATCCGTTTTGATGCTGCTGCTGTTTTGGCCTCTTGCTTTTGTTTTTTTTTTTTTGTTGCTTTGCTGCCTCACCATTTCCTTCCCGATAAATACTTGTCAATCAGTTATTAATTGCTTTTCAAATTTATTGAATTTGCGGTTTGCTTCGCAATTTGGCTTTGCTTCTAGTCTCTCTTCCAGTCATTGCCCTTCCCCCCCGTGATTGGCAGAAAATGTTTTTGTTTTCTGTGCTGCCTGTGGTTGGTCGTAGTCCTAGTCCTAGATCCTTATCCGCATGTCAACTCAAGGTTCATTAAGCCGAACATTTGTGCAATTTGTGCCCTGAAAGTCACTCAGCCACGTTGCGAATCGATTTCCAAAAGCATTCTCCAAAAATTTGCAACAAATTAGCAGCCAAAAGCCAAAGTAAAAAGGGGAGAATGTATGTAAAATGTACAAGAATGTATGTAAATACGTATACATAATGGAAATGGCCAGCCCGTGCACATCGTTGCACACAAACAAAACTTCAAGTAGGAGCAGCTCAAAGGACAATGCCATTGTCGTTTATATTGAGAGACAATAATTGATTGTGAGCAATTCGAGATGCACATAATTGGTAATATGTACGAGTATGTACGGAGTATGTACGAGTGTATGTACAATGTAGAATTAACTCTGACCAGCCATTTGAAGTGGGCCGAAACATTCCAATGCCATTTCGAGTCGAAAGATTGTTGGACTTCCATCAGGAGTGTCATTTGTGCACTCCAAAATAGGAGGAGTAGGAGTACGTGGGGAGCATGTATGTAAAGCAATTTGGCTTTCTACATATTTGCTCCGTCGCCTGTCAAGCCATTTGTTTGCACGCCTTTCACTTCCAAGGTGCATTTCGCCGCATTGCAATTTTGATAGCGCTCGTTAATTGCATTTTCTTTTTGCCGTGTGGTGTGGTGTGGTGTGGTGTGATAGACAAGACGCGATGTGTGATGTGACTCGACCTGATGCGATGGGAGGATGGATGGATGGGTGGATGGGGTTGCAAGTGGAAGACATTCAAATGTGTCAGTTGCGACAGCAACAAAGCGATATTTAACCAAAGTGACGTGCGGAGTGGATGCAGTGGCTGACTGGCTGGCTGGCTGGCTGGCTGGCTGGCAGGCACTGAAACAGAAACCGAGACACAGGCAGCAGGCAGGAGGCAGGAATGCTGGAGCAGGAGCAGGAGCAGTCGCAGTAGCGGCAGTCGCAGTCGCAGTGGTAACCGTAACAGTGCGCGTGAAAGGTATGCAACCGCAGGACAACAAACACTTGCGCAACAACAACGAAATGCAATTAGCAAATAGATGTGGCCAGGCAGAGTTGCCTGCCAGTTGTACAGATGCGACCGCACACTAACGTTTGTCTCTCTGCCTCTCTGTGTCTGTCTCTAAACCGCTCCCAATCCCATATACATTTCATTAAATGTGCTGTGCAATGTTTATTAAAATGCACAAAATTATTTTTAAAAACAAGGCTCAGCAGCAGCAGCAGCAGCAGCAGCGCCGACACAGTGGCAACTTTGTTGTTGCCTTGGCCCCGCAACTTTTATGGGACAATATGTTCCACATTTTATGCTCTCGAGCAGCTAAAAGCAATGGACTCTGCGCCTCACTAACTTCAATTGCCAGAGCCCAGAGCCCAGAGCAGCACAGAGTCTCCCCCCTTTCACTGGGAGTATTAAAAGCCACAATTTTCCCATAGTCACCCCCATATGGACGACTTGTGTCTTGTGCTGCTGTCCGCCTTTTATGGCAGGCAACATATGCATATGGCTGGCCTCATTGTTGTTGTTGCTGCTTTTGTTGCTCTCGTTCTCTCGTGTTGCTCCGTTGCTGTTCGCGCATCTGGCAACATCTTGTTGAGCTGTCAAAATATGCTTGTTAACAACATTTGTTGCACCGCAACAGCATCAGCATCAGCCACACACACACACACACACCCAGCAACAATGCAGATACTAGACTTGAACAATGCCTAGAAACACCATCAGGGGGGTGGGTGGGTGTTGGATGCTGGAGCGCTACTAAAGCCAAGTAGAATGCAGAGCCAGCTGCATTAGCCTCTAAACATGTTTGCACGCAAAACGGCAACTTTCCAGCAGCCAGCAGCATCCAGCAGCATCCAGCAGCAGGCGCGCTCTTTCAGCTTTTCCATTTAATTTCTGACAACCGGAGAGAGAAAGATTTTTTAGTTTTAAAAGCGACAAAAATAATCAGGGAAATTGCCCGTTTTTCTGGCATGTTGTTCAACTTTATCTCATGGTAAACTTTCCATAAATAGCCAAATGGAGTTGGCCGGTCGGTCGGGGGGCCAGAAATGTGTCTGTCTGTGTGTATGAGTATGTGCGCGCAGACGCCTTGGGCGTGCGTTTGTCTAATAGATCAGCATCAGCACCCAGCATCAGCATCAGCGTCAGCAGCAAGCAGCAAGCAAAGCAGCAGCTCAAATGTGCTTTCAGGCCATTTATCATCTGGTGCTGCCTGCCTGCCTGCCTGCCCGCTGTCTGCACTTTTAGCGACTGGGCGGCGGCGGCGCGTTCGTGTTGCAGTCGCCCCAGCAAAAACAGCAACAGCTCAGCTGCAGCCTCTGTCCATGTTGCTGGCGCTGTCCACTGCCTCTGTATCATCTACCTCTCCCACCGCCACGTTCGCTCGTCCAGCTCCTCCGAGTTGCCTCCGGCCTGGGCTTGAAATTCAAGCAGCGTGCGCGCACAAGGTGTCTACATTTCAACGCCCCAGCCCCAATCCCCAATCCCCAGTCCCCAGTCCCACTCCCAGTTTCAGGCTCCAGCTCGAGTCTACCATCTATGGTCTGGACTAACCACTAATGTTTCTGGCAACCGGCTGCTTGTCAACTGCTGTATTGCCGGCTGTGGGTCTGGGTCTGGCTCTGGCTCTGGCTATGGCTCTGGTCAGCACCGGAGGAGTCTGCTTCATTTACACTGAAATTATTCTGCATAAATCATTTTAATGTTGCGTGATTTTTAGACGGCCTTTTAACGTCTCCCGAATGTCACTTAAAATCTGGCACATTAAAGCACACAACAGGAGGGCGAGAGGGAAAAAGAGAGAGAGACAAAGCGAGGGCTGCCACAAAAGATGCATAAATCAACAGCAAAATGAACTTCCAACGATACGGACTGCCTGCCACTAGTTTTGAATGGAAATTTCGGAGGCTGAGCTGAAGTTTCATTGAAGCTTTTACGGCATTCCGAAGCTGTGTACTTTTTATTATATTAGGAATTTATGGTGCAAAATATGCATAAAGCTATGGCATAGTTTACAAGAAGAAAACTAATTTAAGGTGCCTAAAAATAGTGTCAACCTTGGCAGCCTTGGAATTTATTTCAGAAAGGTTGAGAAAGGAATGTTACAGGTGCAACCTTCAGTAGTTCAAAGTTGCCTCAAAAAATCCTCTAAGCAATTGGGACTACAGTCTAAAGATTGTGTAGAATTATATAGAGTTTTAATATGCAGTTTTTAAATGTTTTGTCTTTACAATTCTGCCTTAAACATTGCTAAATTGATCCATTCTTTCAGCGAAAGTTTAGCTCTAAAATAAATTTAGCTGATAAAGTCGCAGAACTGCCCTCGCTGGCTGCAGTTACCAAGATTAGAGCTAAACTTTTCATTTTTTATTGTGTCTCAGCATCTGCTGCCGGCCTTACGAGACGTAGACGTAGACGTAGACGGTGCGTGCACTTAATACATAATTCGGGTACACATTATAATTACAGACGCAGCCGCATAACCATAACATTTTCGGGGGGCCACACAATCCAGGCAGATCAAAGCACACACAAATACACCCACATGTACCGTACGTGTGTGTGTGTGTGCCACACACATGATGTACTTTGAAGTTGATTTACTTCAGCTTTGAGTTGGCATTCGCGGGAATCACATCTTTGAGTTCGCAGCACAAATGATACTTTGTTGTCCGTGTTGATGTTGTTGTTGTTGCCGCATGCCGCATGCCACACACAATGCCATGTGAGAAACAAAAACAGAGAGGCAGGAGAACATTTCATTAGAATTAGAGCCATTCCATTGCTATTGCTGCTTCCCCAGACAGTTTTATTCGAGAGCCATCAACCCCGCGCCTAATGGCTTTTCCAACTTACGCCGTCACGCTTGGGCCTGCAGCGGGATCTCTGCAGGAAGCGCATTACCACGGGCGGCATATGCTCCTTGTACATTGCATATTCGCGCAGGACAAAGCGACAGGCGCTGAAATGCACACACTGGCCGGCAGTCTTCTCTGGCGTCTGGCAGCTGGGCTCTACAATGGACACAGAGAAGGAGTGCTCTTATTCCGATCTAAGCATTATCAATGCCAAATGCTCTGGGCTCAGACTGTCGCTTACGTGTGTGGCACAATGACGGCAGCAGGATGACGAGCCACGGCCACAGCAGCAGAATCAATCGAAATGTGCGCCACATTGTGAATTTACAAGCAGCAGGCAAAAACGATGATGTATGGGACAGAACAAAAATGTATTTAAAGTCGCGTTAAAGTCTTAAGAACTTGAAGCAACGCAAAAACGAGGCGACGCTGACGGGTAGAGTGGAACTTCGACTAAAGCTTGGACGTAGAGTGGGCTCTTCCGGGTGCTCTGGGTTTGCTCTTGGATGCTGTGTGCCTGGCAGCAGATTGTTGCTCAAGTAAACAGCTTGGACTGCTGCTGCGTCTGAGGCAACTTTTGATAAGCTATAGTAGTGGGGGGGGGGGACTGGCTCTGGCTCTGGCGCGCTTATCGACGGCGTGCAAAACAAGAGGCCAAAAAATATGTACATAATATGTAAGCAAAGGCACACAGATACGCACAGCCACACAGCAGCCGAGCCATAAACACATGTTTAAGGCGGCGCGTACCAGTTTGAACCTATGCAGACAGAGGGCACAGAGAGAGAGGGCAGCGCCGCTGTCTAACAAAAGCAAATGGAAATTTATTATACATCTAATATGTAGATATATGGTAAAGTTGAAAATGAATTCTAAGCGCAAAGGGAAAGGCAGCAGCTGTGCCGCCGTCGCCGCCAAAAGGACGAAGGAAACGAACCGAAACAAAAAAGAGTCGAGTCACCCGCTGAAAGTCTCTCCACACACACACATGTACAGGGGGGAGGCTGGAAATGTTCCAATATAGCTGTCTAAATAGCCATATTTGCGGGGTTTTGATTGATGGAAACCAAAGGCAGGTAAGCCAACTTGTAAGCGGCTTACCAGAGCGAAGTAGAGAGAGAGAGCAACACACTGCCCTACACACCTAATTAAGTATCCTCGAGGCGCTTCCATAACCATTGTTCAATAAATACCAATTTATTGGTACCCCCATGGCAGCGCCCCCTGCATTTAGACTAAGGGCAAATACCCGAAATCGCAGTCGAATTCAATTTTATAACCCCAAACCAGGCGCACACATGTAATATGCAGGCACAACCACACTCCTACATACATTTTACATACCTACATACATATTACATACATTTTACATACTTACCTACGTAAGTTAGTTTCGTTGCCAAGAAACGTCGTGGAACGGGTGGGGGCAAAATTTTAATAAAAATGTAAATTTTTTTAGTTGCCTAAGGGGTGCCCTGGCACAAATGCAAAAACCAAAAAAAAACCAATAAAAAAAGTATTGCTCGTTATGAACTTGGCGGCAGTTTTTGTGTGGCCCAAGCAGCAATCCTGAAGACCAATCCCAGCCAAAGCTGCACGCAATCCCCACCCATCTGGAGCATCATTTGGCCAGGTTAAAGTTTGCCGCTCGAATGTCAAGCCAATTTGCGGATATCTTCACGAAATGAGCTCTCTCTCTCTCTCTCTCTCTCTCTCCTGTCTCTCTCTCCCTGTGCGATGCATAAAATTGGAGTTTTATCAAATTATAATTGCAGCCATAAAAGGAAAGTTTTTATTTCTCTCAACATTTAAATGCGTATTCCCAGTTCTTTCATTGGTTTTTATTTCGCAAAAGCCACACATGCAGACAACTTCGATTCAGTTTCATTTGGTTATTATTTAAAGTGTGTCTGGGGATGTGCTGCAATCGTAAATTGTAGCAGCGCCTGGTATCTCGTGGATTGCTGGCAAATATAAATAGTTATGGGGAATTTTTAAAGCGAGTTTTCTCGTATTAAATATAAAATAATCTCCCAGCGAAGTTTGTCAGAAATTCTAGACAATTTTATGAGTATTTATTTACCAAAAAACTTAATTTGAGCACAACTTTTACCTGCAGATCCACTTGTTAATCTATAAACAATCATTGCATCAATCAATGGCTCTTTGCTAACAATACTTTGCCGTTTGTTGCATTTTTTTAGAAAGCTGCCAGCAGCAGATAAGCAGATTTCCGTGCCTGGCTTACCTACCAAAAATCGTTCGTTATATTAATCGGTATTATGACAGCCAGACTTCAAATGGGTAGTCTGTGTCCATAAAGTAGGAACAAAATGTAATGATTGATTTAATGGACTTCGAAACATTATCGAAGGCATTGCAAAAGACGTGGCAGGGCCAAGGCGTGGCAAGTGTTGACAGAGCCATTTTGATGCATCATAAAACCAGGCCACATCATTAAAAACCCTTCCAAAATAAATATTGACACTCCGCTTATACTAAACGGGGGGGGATGGCACTCTCTCCCTCTCTCTATCCACACACATGTAAACGTTTAAGTACGATATTTAGATATGGGTACGAAAACATGCCGGAACCGAGGCATAAAAACCGAAATGCGCATAATAAAAAGCCATCGTCATAGACTTCAACTTCGACTCTACTTCGAACCCAATGGGCATCATAACCATTGCCCATAGCAATGCTCTGACACTCATCCTCACACTCACACACACACACTCACTCCCGCACTCATTCGGATACTCAAACTCAAAGTCATAGCCATAGCCAGCCCTTTTACAGATGTGCGATAAAACAAGAGGGGGCTGGGCAGGGCAGGGCAGGGCATGGCAGGGGCAACAAAAGGCATCGGGAAAATATGAGAAACAAAGCATAAAATAAAACACTTTGGAACTTCGAGTTGACAATTTGAAGACGCCAATAAAGTTTTTCCTACGCTCCCCATTTTCAGGGGGAGGGGCTGCTGCTGCTGCCAGTGTTTTCGTTTTCGCTTTCGCTTTTCCTTTTCTTTTTCATCAATAAAAATTCTTTGGAAATCATTTAGGAGAACGCATGCATGCACATCATGTGCAAGTCCACGCCCACGCCCACACTCTCCATTCCCCTCTGAATGGCATTCGCCCCCGCAGATTCCCAATGCGGAGATAAAACGCGTGTCAGACACGACAATGCCATGGATCATGTGTCAAATTGTGACTTGCAGTTCATGGTGCTCCACCCCGTTCGCAACTAGTTACCTGTGAGACTCCTCTCTATGTCAATCCCCAACCCACAACACTCCACGTTGCTCGGTTCTTGAGGCACACGCAAATGCACTTTTTGATTGCCTTTGGCACTGTGGCAGTGGCAGTGGCTCTACCACTGGCTCTAGCCATCCTTTTATATATCCACCCTCTCAGTCTCAGTCTCATGTACATCTTCATCTGTATCTATATCTGTCTCTGTCTCTTTCTCTGGCTTTTCTTATCTAGCTTTGGGTGTGTGATTCTTATGAATAGTCGAGCGCTGTGGCACGGACACAGCTGCCATGTCTGAGTGTGTTGTTGCATTGTCGTTTTATTTGATGTTGGATGGTAAAAGCTTTTATCAAAAATCGTATTGCATGCAAATTAGATTCCTACTCCGATGTTACTGTCTACTACTTGCCTTTGTTCGGCAATCTAAAACTATATGCATTGCCATTCAGATGATGCCCCCCCATTGTCGCGCTTTGCCTGGCTCGCTGCTGCATCTGCGGGCTTGCTGATAAAGATACCGACGACATGCACACGACAATGCTGCTGCCACACTCGCTGATGATTCAGACATTGCAACCCAAAAGCAGTTGATGATGCTGCTGATGCTGATGCTGCCGGTGTCGGTGCTTCTGCTGCTGCTCCTGCCTGCTGCTGCTGCTGCCTGCTGTTGTTGCTGCTGCTGCCTTGGTCTTTTGTCGCAGGTCTCAATTGACTTGATAAACTTCTTCCTACATTATTTTTTTTCTCTTCTCTTTTTTTTCAATTCCGTCGTACGCTTTTGCTTGTTAACGTCAACTGGCTCTCACACACACAGCGAGAGAGTGCCACCACGGGTTTTGGGGTAAGAGCAGCATCAGAAAGAGTCACAAAGATGCAGGCGTAAAATGAGTTCATTTTTTTTGTGTGTGGACTCTATCGAGCACGTCTTATCTGGCGTCGCATACGTATTTGGCCGTGGCAGGCAGTCAGGGCAGGCCGAAGAGTGGGAGCGGAGTTGGAGTTGGAGTCGCCGTCGTGGCTGCAACGGGCTTAAACATACTTGAATGCATTTCCATTTCATGGCTATGGCTTCATTGCCGCCAAATGTCGGCGTCTGCCGCTTTGTCTGGTGGCTATGCGCCAACTTGCCAAAAGAAAAAGAAAGAAAAGAAAAAAACGATCTGCCGGCTGCCCCCAAGCACTGCTGGTGCTGGCGCTGTTTGTGTAATAGCGTTCATCGAAGCTTAAGGTGTATAAATCACACACAATGCGGTCTTTTGTAGTTTCAGGCGACACTCACAAAGACTTACCACACACACACACACACACACACACACACAGCCCTGCACTGCAGTCTGCAGTCTTGACTTTTTTCTCGTTTTCTCCCGACTCTCAAAATTATGGCGTTTCGCTGGCGTGTCTAGGGAGCAGCTGGCTAGTGCTTCCGGCCGGTCCCAGCATTTAAATAATAATAAAATCAAAATCATAATTTATTTTTAACAATTTGTTGCACTGTTTGTAATCATTTGTTAACTGTCCGGGCTTAGGGACTCTTGAATAGTTCGGCTCGAGAGCGACGAGGCGTTTAAGCCGCTTAGCAATAAACACAGCAACAAAAGCGACAGCCACAGCAACAACAATATTTTAACAATGAACACAATGCTGTAGCAAACGGCTGCCACTTGAGGCGGTCAGCGGCAGCAGCTGCCACAGTGCTCTAATGCCCTTTGATAAATAGTCAAAATATTTAAGCGGCATATTTAAAATCAAATAAACACATCAGCCAACAATCAAAAGCTTGCTGAACTGTAAATTGAGCTTAGTTGCGCTACATTTGAGTCTCTCGACTCCGAGTCCGACTCCCAGTGTCCCGAGTCGCCCGGGGCCTTCGATGAAAGTGCAGGCGAGCGGCAAACGACCCACTCAACTGCAGCTTCTCCTCCATAGCTCCTCGCACCACATGCAGCCTCCAGCTTAAAGTAAACAGCTTAGCTCGAGTCGGAGCTGCATCTGCATCTCCATCTATGTCTCCATCTATATGCATTGTATCTCTGCCACTGACTCTGCGCTATGCCTCGAAGATTCGCCTCGAATTTGTTTATGGCCAACTCCTGCCTGCCGCCTGCC